AAAAGAGAAGATAACGTATATACCTAGCATATTAGCTCATCAATATAATGTAAGAAAAAATACCCGGATGACAAAACTTTTACACTTTTGCTTTGCAAGCCATTTCGAATATTGTTGTCTTGTGGCATGTATGTGCGTCTGTCTGTCTCTGTCTGTTTATCGGTCTGTTTGATATATTTTTTTATCCGTACGTAACCAACAACTTTCGATAAATAAATATTGTTTTTGGAATTCTAGTTTTGAAAGAAGTAAAATAGTGGTCTCACATGTCTCAAAATGAGTAGTCGGCACGTAATCAAGAAAGTATGGACTAGATTTTTCGAGTACCTATTACAGGCAAGCATCTAAAATTAATTTCGGATGATGGGGGGTTCACAAAAAATTTTAATAACCATTTCGGGGGCAGGGTGGTTTTGGGTGCCACAATTTTTTTTTCTCCTTCTGAATTTCTTGGATGAACTAATAAAAAGGTTTTAAATTTAGCGTAATGTAATGTGTTTAAAAATAATTCGTTTAAATGCTTAAATTTAAAATCGGTTCAATTATTTTAGTACATATCATAGTTTGAATTTACGTGCGGATATTTTACGTTAAGCCGCCATCACGGTTGAAATTTTATACTGTCATATTTAGACTAAACGTATATTTTAAACATATTGCCTTACTTCAAATCTCCATGTTGTTCCATTAAAAAGGATAAAAAAAGGAGTGGGGACATTGTATATTATGCTAAGCCTCGATCTAGTCATTTAATTTCATTTAAAACCCACAAATTGTAAGATTTGAGGTGGGGTGGGACTGAAGGGTCTAGGACTCTTGGACCTCCTAACTATGTGCTTGATTACAGGCGATTCATGAGTATCAGATTTTATTAAAATCACACGAACTTAATCTAAATAAATCATAAAGACCTATAGTATCTAAAAAAACAGCAATTTGTGCCTTCTTGGATATTGCGGGGGCGTTTGACAATATACCACATAAGGTGGTCAGGCGATCTCTAGAAACAAGAGGGGTGAACAGAACTATTATTCGCTGGTTTTGGGAAATGCTGTCAACACGAACAGCAGAGGCTCAGATGGGCACCAAAACTGTAGCTGTTAAAACACCGCAAGGAACTCCACAAAGTGGAGTAACCTCCCCTTTGCTGTAAAGCTTGGTGGTGGATGAACTACAAGATGAATTAACTCTAGCCGGAATACACTGCATTGGGTATGCAAATGACATAGTCATGATCGCTTCGGGGGAAACATTAAGGCACCTTGTGTGATAGTATCCAAAGAGGACTCCGTATCACTGAAAGATGGTGTAGGACTGTCGGGCTGAGTATCAACTCAGACAAAAACCGCAGTAGTGCCATTCATCAGAAGGCGAAGTCTGAAAAACTTGAAAAATCACAAAATAGATGGAAAGGAAATACTGCCAACACAGGAAGTTTAATACCTGGGAATAACCCTGGACAGTAACTCCTGTGGAACAGGCATATTATGAACACTACCAGCAAAGCCATAAAGGCTCTCATGATATGCAGAAGACTGGCCGAAAATAGATGGGGCTGCTCCACTAACATTTTGCGCTGGAAGTATACCATGATAGTAAGACCCATGATTACTAATGGAGCAGTTGCCTGGTACAAAACTAGAGCAACGACGGCAAGGCTTAACTTATGCAAAGTCCAGAGACTAGCATGTGATTGCATCACAGGAGCCATGAGAACCTGTCCAACAGCAGCAATGGAGGTCATCTAGACCTAACACCACTGCACATTGTCATTGTTAGATATGCCAATGCGACAATGATAGAATGGTCAC